GATAGTTCAGTAAATCATTGCTTTCTATAAAATAAAAAATATTCTAATCCACTGTCCTGTTCTCAGAAAACATTTCCAAGTCTACTAGACTGACTGACCCAATCCTTTGAATTGCTTTAATTTTCCATCTTTCTTCTGCTGCTCAAAGCAACCAGATGGTCTGAATAGCTTCTTTCCCGTTTGCACAGCAACGTATATGCCTACTACAAGATGAAACAAGTTTCCTGCTGAGGAACTGAAGCAGTAGTTAGCTGTCCTCAGCTGGAAGGACACCTCATTAGATTCTGTAATATTAAATCTGATAGATGATGGGAAACCTGTTACAGCTTTGGAAGGGGACAGAAATGCATAGAAATTATTGCTAATTATTTTTACTTGCCTTTAATAGGGAGAGCGCTGTACAGCTAAAATACTATTGACTTCATTTATTCATTACTACAAAAAATTATTTCTGCACCTAATAAAGTGAACTTGTGCTTTAGTTCTGGTGGTTTTGTCCTTGCAAGACAAAGGTGTGCATACAGTAATTCATTGTATTAATTTTCTACACTAACTATTTACCATCCTAAGCTAAGAAATATGGAGACAGGACTGGTTTGGTGTCCTTCAATGAGCATGCTAAGTACTGCACTCATACCTCTTTCCTTTATCAACTAGTTTATCTGTTGGTGGACACATTTTGTCTGCAAGGTAATTTTATACTGACATTTTGAATTTCTGAAGATTTTAATCTCTAGTCAAGTGTTAGTGTGACATATGAAGTTGAGTAATTATATCTGGAGTATAATTTATATGTAAAATGAACTGATGGTGACTGGAAAACTATACACATTCAGATAAACTGTATTGCTTCTCAGAGTAAAAAAGGATTTTTCCTAGGTCAGTGTAAAGTGGACACAGGAAACTATTGCTAGGGTGGCAGTAAATATATTTCCATCCAGTAAAGACTAAGGAAGCAATGCAACATCATATAGGGTGCTGGTGATAAACCTCTTCCACATTCCCTGCAGTTATTTTCTTGAAGAAAAAAGCGTTCAGGAATCACATAGCAATGGGGGGAGGGGGGAAATTATCACCTACAGTGGCATATCAATACAGTCCAAGAGAAGGATGAACCTGGTCTCAGCTGGAACCAAAACTGGGGCCTTATTAAGCCTAATTCTTTAAAATTCATCCTGTGGGTTGTGTCATTCACTTTAACTCATTTAGACTTTCCTGAAGTCAGTCTTCCGTATTGCTGTTTTTAAGGTATGTAGAATTTCCTATCCAGAGAGTTCTGTCACATTAAGGCAATAACAAAATACAACTTATGCATTCCCTTTTTTATATGGATATGGGCAAGCTTCTTCAGAAATTCATGGTGTTCCAAAAATTCAACCTGATGCTCTTGCTGAAATACTGCCATGGCATTGTAGAATCACTCTAGATTGAAACAACATTTGAGATCACTGAGTCCAACCACTAACCCAAGCACTAACAATTCCACCACTAAACCACATCCCATGTATGTGTGCATCTAAGACACTGGTGATCAGATTATTTTATTTATAACCTTCAGAACAAGCTTAGCTTTAAACTTATATCATTGTGCTTTTTAGTCAATACCTTGAGATTGTATTTGAGCCTTTTTCATATTCTTTTGAGCTGTATTGTTCTGCAGGAAAGACCTGACCCTAGCAGAACACAAATTATGATTTTCACAGATGAAATAATTACATTTGTATTACATACAGACTGAAAGAATAAATCTATTTTTTTAGCATCATTTAGTGCTTTCAAATAGTCACTTTTCATTAGGGCAGTGACAGACATTTGTTTCAAAATGTTCTAGGGAACAGTTATCCAAGAGATTAAATAATAAAGTAAAACTTGCATTAAGAATTGAATTACAGGTTCATTACAGCCTAATACATAATTATTAATTGGAATTAAAGACATTCTTTTGTTTGGAAAGGAAAGATAGAAGTATTTGACACACTGAAAGCGTCAGCATGAAGGTAAGGCACCATGCCAAATGCAGACAGAAATATTAATAATATGCTACTGACACTTATTTTTATTCTAATAGAGAACCTTGTTTTTCCAAGCTGTTTGAAAATAGTCTGTGCACTTTGTATTTCACTACACACTCTTGTGTTATTATTGTTTGCATTTCCTAGTCTATTTAAAACAACTGAATGTCAAGGAAAGCATAATTATTGAGGGCACCATGTGCACTTGATGCTACTAAGACTAATTTTAAATATATCCTGGATATTTTCATTACTTTGTTTTTTTCATGAAAAACAAACTTTGATTTATTTAAATGAACACAAGTGTTTGATAGGAACATATTTCAATATTCTGTGTTCTTCGTCTCTATCCAGATAAAAGAGATTTTATATATTATGTCTTATTAGGCTTGAGAGTCTGTTCCAAAAAATAACTAATAGATGAACACATACAATTAACAAACACATTAGTCTTGTGGCCAGAGTACAAATGATGCTATTGGTGCGTGTAACAAAGCAATATGGAGGATGTTTCAGTGACTATAATACAATTCTTATCAGTCAAGAAACATTGCTGGAAATGCAGTACAGAAGTATTCATCACATGATATTTTTTCTGTGAGAAGCTGTAGTTCATCTTTTGAATGACACCATTCAACTGACTTAGAACACAAAGTTTTCCTAGCTTCCTGAGCAGGCAGACTCCACAGCAGCATTCCCTGCTCAGTTTCTAGGCACTTGGGACATTTGTCATATCTTTTCTGACCCATTCTTTATTGTCTTATCTAACTAATAGACTCCATTATGGTTACTAAGAGCCTTCCAAACAGATATTCTTCAACCAGAAGTTGTGAGTTAACAGAGTTCTGCACATTGTAGTTTTCAGTGATTTTTTTTTTCCATTCTCCTTACTTGACAAGAATAATAAAAGATGAAAAAAGGGGAAAAAAACAATTGTATTTGTTGCACCAATATCCATTCATTCCATGGTCCCAGTCTCCTGTGATGAAATCTAACATTGTCTCTTATGACTTCTTCCCATTCTTTTTGTTTAAATTATCTAAAATACAGTGGTCAAGATTACTAATGATGAAAACTGTACTTTCTCCATTTTTTTTCTGCACACTTCAGAATTATTTGGATCCAAAGACAGCATTTATTTTGTTTGGGGCGTTTGATGCTTTTTCAACTTAAGTACTTGTATTTGTTGAGAACAGCAGAAGATATCTCTTTATGGCTCTAGTACTGTTTGCAGCAACTTTAATTGAAGAAAGCTGAAAATCAAAAGGTGATCATTAGTCACACAGATTTTTCAGACAGTTATCTATAAATTCAACCATGTATTGTAAAACTTTATTCTTCGCGAGATCTGAAGAATATCTTAGGAAATGGAGCAGGCATTCACTGCATTTAACTGCTCCCCTTGGGCAAAATGTCCTTCTCACTCTTGTAACTAAAATGCAGAGGGTTCAGTCTAAGAAGAGGAGGTTAGGGTGAACTAGGAGTTAGAAAAGGAAAGGGCTGACCTCTTGTTATACCTGGCTGTTTCTTTACAGTAAGTTGTCATTATTGCATGGGCATCAAGTTTTGTGAGGAACTTTAGGTCAAGAACCCTTGCAACACCCAGTAGTCTCTATAAATTCTTGCAGCGCTGTTGGGGTTTAAGTACATTCTGTGTTAGTACTGGTCCCATGCTAATTTCCTTTAATTTATCCAGTGCAATTTAAGCATTTTATCCCCTAAGCCTTCAGGGTAAGGTAGTATGTGGAAATTCCTCAAGAAGTATGAGACGAAAAAAAAATCAAGGTTCTTTACATTCTAGATTAACAAAAAATTTATTTCTTAAAGACATACAACAAAAAAATAAAAGCACTTTGTTGGCACTTTGTATAACTGAAGTCTGAGGAAGTCTAAAGTCTATTTTTGTTAGGAAAGAACATTTGTTTTTCCACACTTGAGAATGATAGTTTGATTGACGTTGAGCATGTAATGGACACAAAAGCAACAGAGGAGACAGTTTCCTACTTTGCATTTAAATATGAACAAGTATGAACTCATAACTCTTGACTGCTGGAACTGGTTAGGGAAACTATCTCTCATCCTGCCTGAGCTCAAGAATTCTTGATATTTCTAAATGCATTCTTATTCCCCAGCTTGAAAATGTACTTAATGTAAATTAATCTAAGTACATAAATATTCTACTCCATGTTTTGCTGTTACATGCCTCAGACATTTACTTTGGTCTTTATGCAGTAACCCTGTTACTGTGGGTTTTAGAATCAGCAATCACAAGTTTGGGGCTGTTTCCTGGGACTCTGCATATAGCTTTGGTTTCCACTGTTCCAGAATAACAAATTTCTGTTGTAGGCACTTGCAGAGAAAAACTACTAGACTAATCAAATGGATTCCATTTTTTAGCCTAATGAGAAAAAAAGTCTAAAGTCCTAAGTTTGCTCTCCTAAAATACCTAGCACATAAACCCCAAGGAAACAGAAGGCATTTTCATGCTTGAAGTATTTTTTCTTATAACAGCTCTTTTATTCAAATATCATTACATCATGTACTGCTTTGGCTTAGTAAATCTAGTGAATTATTAAAGGCATTGGTCCTCTATGGCAGTTGTATATATAAAAGAAAATCAATATAATCACTTGGGTTAATTCAGCACTTGGGTTAATCAAAGTCAGAAAGCTGTATTTGACAGGTGATGGATCATTTCTTATAACTTGAAGCATTATTTTAAAAAGGCTTGATAAAATCAGAGTTCAGACCAAGAAAACCTACAGGCAAAAACCTCTTAATGAACCTGAGTTTTCTTTTCAGAGTACCAAAACCAGAATCAAACACCTCCAAAATTGCCCCTGCAAGCTTGTGTAAACAGCAATAGAAAAATTATTACTGAGTACTGAATTATTACTTGTTAGCACTGAGTCAATGTCTAGCTTTTAAGTTTCGCATGGTTCACTAACTTCTTTGTTTCCTGTGTGTGTTGAATTTTTCTCTCCACAGAGATCTGCCTTTTGACCAAAGGCCGTCGAACTGCCAGTGTAAGAGCAGACACATACTGTCGCCTGTATTCCCTCTCAGTGGACAATTTCAACGAGGTCCTGGAAGAGTACCCCATGATGAGAAGGGCCTTCGAAACAGTGGCAATTGATAGGCTAGACAGGATAGGTATTTATTTTTTTCTATATGCTTAATTCTTAAAACCTTTCTGCATTTTCTTTTCCTTGAGTTGCATGATAAAATGCCACTCTTAAAAATGAAAACTCCTGTCCATAAGTTTTGTTTGTTATACAGCAGTAAATGTTTGGTTGATCTATACATAACACTTGTGCCAACATGAAATTTTGCAATCTCACTTTTAAATAATAAAAACCATGAAGTTCTAGAAAGTTTTCATACTCTTCTAAGCATAGTTTTCATACTCTTCTAAGCATATTTTTCATACTTTAATTATCATTAGTATTATTTATTAGTCCTGTAGATTTCTTTTGCTGCCTTCAGCACTTGATAGGATTTATGCTGTTTCATCAGCTGTAGGTGACATTTTCCTAAATAAATTGCTTAGAGATGACATCTATAATTCTGGGAAGAGCTAAAGCCTCTCAGCAGTCACAAACTCCTTGTTTGTTGAAGTGAATTAATCCTTTGCAGTAGGGCTCTCATTTTCCTCACAACATGGGCACTGCTAGCCTTGATGGCTGCACACTGGCATTGCTCAGATCTGCTTGCAATCAGAAAAGCAGGCCAACAACATCCAAGTGAAAGGCAGAAAGGTACGGCAGATTATCAGAACAGGGGGTGTGAAGTTGCCATCGTGCATCCCAATATTCTGGACCTCTCTAATAGGACACAGTAGGCAAAATATATGGTCTTTGGTCAGGAGAATTGCACTCTGATTATCGACACTGGTTTTAAAAGGCAGCTGTGAAAAAACTCACAACTTCACAATAAAATTCCAGTGTAAAGATTTCTCCGCATCCCTCTTTCTCAATACTTGTAGTTTCTTCGAAATTAAACCAAAAAGAATTGCAAGGAAGTGTCGTGCTGCCTGTTCTAAGCCGAAGATGTGATTTGGAAAAAAGTATCTTTTCTTTAATATACCAAAAAGAATTGCAATACAGGTATACAGGTTTCTAATTTTAATAGAGGTGTTTTAGTATTCTGCAGATTGTGAGCACTCCATGCATTAAACTCTTAAAATTTGTCTCTTGAGACTCTCTGAAAATGTAGTCCAACTCTAAGTAATAGGTGCTTGAATAATATTAGCAGTAAAGTCCAGTCCACTTGGGAATAGCAATCCCATCTGAAGTGTTTTATCAAAAAAAAAAAAAAAATGGAGCAATTGAGTGCCATTGTGTTCCTGTGCATCTGATGACTCAGACAGAATAGCATCTACATCCTGCAAACACTGGAACCCATCAAGCAGACATTAGGATGCAGTGTACAGCAGTCTTTATTGTGCAAGCAGGTTGTCACATTAGCCATAAGTTCATATGAGTTCACATTTAAAAGGATGATTTCTTGTCAATTGGTGGCCACTGGTTACTAATGTCTAGTTATTACTTCCCAGGAATGTGCTAGATGGCAGGTGCATTTATGTTATGTAACAGCTCAGTGGAAATCTGGTTTTGCAATGAACAGAGAAAGATGATGTAGATGCAGAGCACGGTAACTCTTACTGTAAGTTGCTCAGTAAATTGCCATTCTTACATGTAATTGCAGTAAAATCAGTAAACTGCAAGTGAAGAGGCACATAAAGTCCAAGCATCTAAGTGCAGGGGTCTTACACGAGCCCGCTGTGCTGGTGCGGGGAGGGGATGTAGGGCTGCAGGTGGAGGCAGCCATGGGGAGCTGTGACCAGCGTGGGCCACTGTGGCAGTGCCCGGGGGGCGCAGTCCCCTCCTGCACTGGGCTGGGGCGGAGCAGGGGCCTTAGTTCAGCGACCCGGTGCCTGCCGAGGCTTTTACAATACACAGCACCCAGTGCTGGGTGCTGAAACACAAAGCCAGAGTGGGGCTCTGCCGCCTGTGCCTCAGGATCACTAACCCTTCTGCCTCTCTGTGAAGGGAAGAAGAACTCAATCCTCCTGCAGAAGTTCCAGAAAGACCTCAACACCGGCGTTTTCAACAATCAGGAGAACGAGATCCTGAAGCAGATCGTGAAGCACGACAGGGAGATGGTGCAGACCATCGCCCCGGTGAGCCTGCAGCAAATGCCGGCCCTCAACTCCAGCACCTCGGCCTCGTCCTCGCGCGGCCGGACGCAGTCGCCGCCCGTGTACAGCACCAGCAGCCTCTCCCACGGGAACCTGCACTCCCCCTCGCCCAGCACGCAGACGCCCCAGCAGGCTGCCGTCATCCTGTCGCCCTGCTCCTACACCACAGCCGTCTGCAGTCCGCCGGTACAGAGCCCGCTGGCCGGCCGAACTTTCCAGTACGCCTCGCCCACCGCCTCGCAGCTCTCCCTGATGCAGCAGCAGCAGCAGCAGCCGCAGCCGCAGCAGCCGCCGCCGCAAGCGTCCCAGCAGCCCCCCGGCGCGGCGCAGAAGAACGAGGTGCACAAGAGCACCCAGGCCCTCCACAACACCAACCTGACGCGGGAGGTGCGGCCGCTCTCGGCCTCGCAGCCCTCGCTGCCCCACGAGATCTCCACGCTGATCGCCAGGCCTCACCCCACCGTGGGCGAGTCCCTCGCCTCCCTCCCGCAGCCCGCCCCGGGTCCCGGCGTGCCCCCGGCCGGCCGCGCCTCCGTCCCGCAGCGGGTCTCGCTCTTCCGACAGATGTCCTCGGGAGCCATTCCCCCGAACCGGGGGGCCGCGCCGCCCGCTGCTCCCCTGCAAAGGGATTCTTCCACAGTCTTAAGCACAGAGCCCGAGGGAGACAAACCGCGTTTCGCCTCAAACTTATGATCCCTGATGACTGTGAGCAACAGACTTTCAACAAACCGAGCACCATCCCCCGAACTGTTGTAGCCTGTTTCCTAATGTTCCCCAGCAGTCTACTATGAGAAAAATACTTTAGACAGCTTTGCCCTATGTAACGAATGTAAAAATTATATATGTATATGTATATACATATATATGTATACATATATATATTAAAAGAATTAAAAAAACTTGTTTGAATTCATGTCTTCCTTCCTCTCAACCATTAAAGAAAATTAAATTTAGCTGTAATGTTTTTAATGTGTTGACTTCAAAATCAGCCTAAGAGCTGTTCTCTGTCTAGGGGATCTGCTATTTTCATTATTGTCAACACAATAACAAACTTCAAACAAGTATATTAAAAAAAAAAAAAAAAAGAAAAAAAATCAATTTAACTAACAAGTAACACGTAGCACTGACCGAGTGATATTCTGAAACCTGTGTTATTTCATTTATTGCGTATATGATGTTAATTTCTTGTGAAGAATTCAGTTGTTATTTTGCATTACATTTCATATGTTAGCACCATCCATTTGGATTTAGATTGGAAAAGCATTATATTGCAAACATCTGCAGTCTAAAGGGTGGCACTAGCACTCCTCTGGATAGGTTGTAACCTCATGACATGTCAACCCTTCTGTTGTTTAAGAAAATTGGGTGGACTTTGATCTTCATATTGCTAAAGACTTTTACAAAGACTAAATATTGCCATTGTAAATAACTTTTTAGAACCAAGCAAAAATAGCTGCTGTGTGGTGTACCATTGCAAGGTCTTTGTTTAGGAATTTAGGTTCCGCTTTTCACTTCAAAATTTACAGTTTTAAAATTTGTTAAAGCTAAGTGCAACACAACTGTTAAATTGTAATGCAATGGCTTAAAACCTATGGTGTTACTTTTACATGCAATGTTTTATGCAAAATTGTACGCTTGATCCTGCAAACCGCTTGTACTTCACCAGTACCATCACTTTTCTTCTTCTTGCCCTCAATAGCATCTGAGAATATTCCATGCATGCTTTGGAAAAAAAAAAAAGACGATAAAATAGGTTTGGTCAGTAGGAAAAGGCTTTATGGTATCTTAGAAAATAATAACCATTCATTAATTGTGTCTACCTTAAAATTCCTATAATGCTGACTTTGAATCTCTGGTTTAAGTCTAGAAGTGAGGTTTTTCATTTAAAAGATTATTTGTAAACCACAGCTTGATTTAGACTTTCAGGTGCTTTCTGTGTCTTCACTGTAGTTTTGTAGTTGACTGTGGTGTTAATTTACAAAAATAAATATAATATAGCATCAAGTCTGTCTGGAAATGCACGATTTGCTCTGTGTATATTGTAATTAAATGGTTAGTATATCCTAAGGCATGTAGTGTCAAACATAGCCCATAGGTATGAGGTTTATTATTTTTTATGTCTTCAAAACAGAAAGGAAATGGTGACAGAAAGCAGGGTTAAAGCATACTGTTTTGTGAACATTTTGTTTTGTTTGCTCAAACCTTCACATTATCTTATCCAGAAAAAAAAATTCGTAATCATTTGTGCCTGATTTGTCACATTAAATAGAGATTGAGACTAAATGTGTCATAATTCAACTCATTAAAAATCAGCATTATGGATATGATATAAGCATATATTCTGTTCCTTAAAACCAGGCTGATTCATGTTAAGGAAGTGAATGCAAAGGAGTTCTCTTTCCATTAATGCTGAATTTAACGATGCATGGAAAAATTAAATAACATCACAAACTACTAATGCAGTGAATCCAGATGTACTTGAGAGCCAAGTAAAATATACTAAAGCTAACAGAGCTTGAGCCTATGCTGCCTGTTATACGTTTTACTAAAGTGGTACATCAAATAAAATTTTTAAAAAATCTTCTTTTTTTTTTTTTTTGCTGACTCACACTCACCAGTAAAAATCGATGTAATTAACCCACTAACATGCTGCTGCCATTAATTTAAGTGACCTGGAGTGGAAATGGGGAAATGATTGTTTAAAAAGTGTCTCAAACATTATGGATACGCTGCAAGACCATTTATTTATCAGTAAAATACCCCTTATATTATTTTAATGCTAACAAATTCTGTCAGTTAACTAAGATCATGTACTGATCTTGAAAACTGTTTAAGGTTTACATTTAATAGGAGAAATGGGGTTAGTAGCAAAATATTTTTATATATATTTTTATTTTATTTTAAGCACTATGAAGAAATATTAATTCACATGGTCTTTCAGTGAAACCATAAATAATTTTTAATGACTTTGTAATAGAGTGGACAATATCTAGGATTTGTATGTTAATTAAAAAAAAATGGTACAGGGTATAAAATTATATACGTATATATATATGTATGTATGAATGTATATATACTTAGATTAAGAAACAAATGACTCACATTCCTGTAATATAAAGGTCCATTGCTAGTTTCAGAAGTGACCTATTTTCTCTGTACATAAGTAAGCCCATAAGTATGAAATCTCACATCTGTACAAGTTGCAATGTATTAATGAAAAAAGGTTGGATCTTACTGCTGCTGGGAAGACTATAGGTCTGGTTCTTACAATAACTGTATGATCAGGGATGAGTTAGATTTTTTCTTTTGTCTTTGCTCAAAGCCATAAATAAACAAATATAAAAGATTATTAATAAATTGAAGAAAATATATAAAAAAAACCCCATGAATATTTTTTTGTTCCAATATCTTTATAACTGAGAAAGTTTTGCTTTAATATGGAAGAAGAATTGTTTGCTTATGTCTTTTCTTTATTCTGAGCCCAGAAGTGGTATGCACTAAGTATGGGGAGGTGGAGAGAAAACTGCCTTAGTCATTATGTACACTCTTGAAAGAAGGGGGCTTAGAAATTCAAGGATACTACCTTATTTACTCAACCAATTCCTAAACTATATATTCTCTTCAGATTAGAGAAATTAATTTCCCTACAAAACTTTCATTTAAGCAATTAATATTTATCTGTAATATTTTTGAAGTACAAATATTTGAAAATTGCATTTGTTTTTGTATAAAATATTAAATATCCCAGGAGAAAATCCCAAAGAGGTGTAAGTATAACTTAAGGAAACTGTATTCTGTCATATTTTCACTTCGTCTTACTGTGTGTGCCAATCCCAGATATACCTCTAAACTTGTGTATAATAGTTCAGATTTCAGGGGAACACTGATGTTCATTATTTTTATTTTAGGACATTGTAAATTAAAAAGCTTAGTGCATTCAAAGTAATAGCATATTATGTGTTTTACATTATCTTCGGTAGGATCAATAGAATCCTAGACTGATAAACTGATTTAAGCAAGCATGAGTAGTTGTATTTTCAGTTTGCACTCTAGAGTATATTGTGAATTCCTTTCACTGGTATTTAAATTTGGTTTTTTTACTTTGCATCACTAAGATATTGCTTCAGTCCGATGGTGATCAATGAAGGGATTTTCAAAAATACTAGCATGACACTAGAAAAATCTTGTTTAGCAGCAACAGTTCAGTTCTCCTGTCTACATTTGACCACTGCACAAAGTATACTTTGCTCTTTGGTTCAGTCTTATTATTCCATACATGTTTGCATGCAGAACCAAAAGAAACAAAGGATTGTTTTTAAGTGATATTTCATGTCCCAGTATATGGTATTGATGTGTATCTACACACCAATTTATGTATTTTTAAAATCTCTCCATTTTGAGTGTCTATATCTACCTCAGCTTACTTCCTACCTTATCTTGAAATGGAACCAAAGTAAATTTTATCTAAAAAGCAAACTTTCATGTCTTGATGCATGTCGTTAAGAGTTAAGCTTAATATTTCTATTTTCAAAATTTATTCATGAGTTCTCAAACCAATTTCAGTATTTCTATACATTTGCATTCATTTCTACTCTATAAGTGACATTGTCCAGTGAAGAAAAACATATTATTTTGATAATAAGATGTTAAATTTTTAAATGAGCCTGCAGTTCAACTGCTCTGGAAATATGCAGTGATGTTAGTAATTTCTGCTGTTCTTAAGTCCTCTGCTCATTCCAAAAAATTGTTACAATATAGGAACAGAAAGTGTTTGTTTACAAATCTTGGGTCTGAGCTACAAGCACTATCTGAACACTCTAAAAATTGGGTGTGCAAATTTATTTGTTTAGTGGATTTGGTCTTTTGTCTCCTTCCTTTTTCTTTTTAATTAGGGAAGAGTAAGAGCATTAATATTGCCCTAGAGCATGTCCTATGAGAAATACATGCTGTGAGTCTTGAATTGGTACATTTTTCACCAATAATCAGTACCCAGCACTCCTTTGCATACTTAGCACTAGAATGCTAGTGTGAATCCACCCTGGCTAGCCCAATGGACACCATCCAGATGGTATAATTTCTGATCCATGGTTACCTTTTTTCTCATCTCAGTGAAGACATATTAGTACTTTAACATGCAATATCTTAACAAGAGTGTGGTAGCACTGAATTTTTCAGGTCAAGATATAGGAGCATTAGAAAGAGAAAAACAGGGACATTAGAAAGAGAAAAGCAGTGATAGTAGACAAGCAGAGTATCCAACTAAATGAATTGATTTTAAATCTACCTGTGTATCTTCCATATACATTTTTAAATATTGCTGTCAATTCCATTAGATGGTTTAAGAGGTATTCCAGGTCAGGTGATCCTTGGACTATGAACTGATGGACTCAAGCACACATTTGAACTGAATCTAAACTTTTCCTCATCCTTGAAACTGTTCTTGTATGATGTTATTTCACCTGCTTGCAAAACATACCATATTTTTTTACCATTCTCCAGTTTTATGCGTCAGATTTGGAATATGGTTCCCCCTATGCTCTGCTTTGAAGAGATTGTGCAGTGCTGAGTTAGTTCTTTCTGAAAAGTCATTGGCAAGTTTGGATCAAGTAGAACTGCAGCACAAAAGAGAGGAGATTGAATGTCGTAGTTTCAATCAGTCGAAACTAGCCTGTGCACTAAAGGGAAGCAGGTACTTGAACCATTTTTCTGGAAAGTCGTCAGGGTACTGGAGGGACTCTTACACTGAACCATAGGTCTCAACAAACCCGAGGTTCAATCTGAAAATGCATCTCCAATGTCAGCTGCTTCTGGGCTCCACAGTTACTGAAAAGTTTGCATAGACACAACCCATAGTTCCTATAGCATTAGTGAAGCATCTCGTCTGTCTTCTGTTTAATGACTACTCCACTCTTTATAGGTTCCATATTGTACTTGACATCACAAAATCTGAGATGTTCTCTGGGTGGTACACTGAGTATGACCACTACTTATACATCTACTTCCACATCTTTTCTTCAGAAAGGAAAATATGTGCAATCTGTGTTCAGTTGTGTTGTTGCAGTGTAGAGGCTTTAAATTA